TGGTTCGGTAGATTTGACGAACAGGTTCTACCGAATAGGTGCGAACTGGTAGGAACCCACCTCTGTCCAGTGGTTAATTTAGTAACACAGTTGTAAAGTGAAACTGGCTTCCGAATTGACTTTGCTTATCAGAAGGGTGCAAATGGTGACCCCAAGACCCCAAGGCACTGCAATTGTCATAAGTATGCTAAATATAAATGAGTGAATTGCCAAGCGTCTGAATTTTGATCACAAGATCACAGGGATGCTACAATGGCTGTAAGTGTGAAAACAGTCATAAGTCTCTCTTTTCAGTGCCGTTGTAACTTCAAACTGTCACTTAATAAACTGTTGCAGGTCAAGGACTACCTTTATTCTGAAAAAAAGGTGGATCTGGAAAAATCCCTTTCTAAACAGGAAAGTCTTCGATCAGCTGATCAAGGCTGCTATGGAGGGTGCTTTAGATGGTCTTCCAAAGCTTGGAATTACTCAGTTCATATTGTTATTGTTGAGTTCTTTTCTTTTGCTTCCAGGAATTATCTATGGAGAGTCCCAATCATCCAGGTCAGGCTTGTCCCAAAGTGCTTTTTTTTCTAAAAGGCAACTGGGCTTTCTTGTTTTTTTCCTTTGAAAACATTTTGCTTCTCATTTAAGAAGCTTCTTCAGTTCTGAAGAAGAAGAGAACTCAAGAAAGTTCTTGGATGAGAAGCAAAACTTTTTCATAGAAAAAATACATCAAAAAAGCCTAATTGCTTTTTGGAAAAAAACACCCTGGATTCCAGGAGTTGTGCTCCTGCCACTGGTGGAAAATATATTACAAATTATAATTCATATTAATAAACTAAATTTCCTAGTGTGCTGGAAGGATTATATTCCTAGAGATGCTGCATAGTCACCATAGATATATAAAATAGGATGAAATTCTATTTGAACTATTTTTAATGTGTCAATCTGCATGTCCTCAACTAATAGCCTTCCAGATTTTACTGAATTATAGTATACTACAGTATTAGACATGGTGAGTGAGGCTTTTAGGGAGTTATTTTTAGCAATATTTGGAGAACATTATATTTCAACCCATCTATAATAAAAAAATAATTGCATTAATAATTAGCTACTAATTGGTCTATATTTCCCCTATTGAGTTTTTACAAAGCATTGTTATAAAAAAATCTTTTCATATTACTGGCTTTTATGCTGGTTTTCTCAAATAAAGAAATGCCAAGCTTGAAAAGGTGTGATTGATTGTAATATTCTACTCTCCGGTGTGAAATAAATTATTATAAGGGAAGTTAAACCACCAGAAGGATGATGGGGAAAATTGATTTGAATAATTATATAGTATTACGTACAGAACAAAAAATAAAGAATAAAGCACAGAATTACCAACATAACAACCTACCTTTAGGGAAAAGGTGTTAAGGTTTACTGATTATTATTTTTTACCTTAAGACTGAAAGAGTAAATAAAATTTATAGTGTTGTATAATATAACTTACGTTGTGTTAAATGTTAATATTATGTTTTTGAGTTTAAGTACAACTTTAAAAATGAAGAAAGGAATAATGATGGTGTAGTTAATGTTGTTGTTAGTTTATTTATTTTATTTATTGCGACCCCATGGACTACATTCCTCCAGGCCTTCCTGTCCTCTACCATCCTCTGGAGTCCATTTAAGCTCACGCCAACTGCTTCGGTGNGGAGGAGGCCTAGTCTGTGCGATCTAATCGGTCTGGTGGAGGTAATTTTTCCCCATACACTCTCTCTTGTTCCCTTTTTCCTCCCTTAGTTTTCCCTTATTTTTATTTTCCCTTCTGTTTTATATTCTGATGAGCTAATAAAAAATTTGAACCAGGAAAAAAGCAATCCATAGTGAGCTGGACATCAATCTTGATTGCATCAACTTGCATTTGCATGGTGTAGACCAGGGGCGTCAAACTCAAGACCCGTGGGCCAAATCTGGCCCATGTGGTGGGGGGGCTTAGATCTGTCCCGGAGGCCCACCCTGGAAAAAGCAAAGAATTGGCCTCTGCCAGTGAAAACTGAGCCGGGCTGTCACAGCCTAAAACACAGCCCGGACTGGCTGCACCTTCCCAAGCTCCGTTTTCACTTTCAGAGGGCTGCAGGAAGCTGTCACAGCCGAAAACGGAGCCTCAATGAGTGATGTTGCACTGGCCACACCCACCCTGGCCACACCTACCCTGGCCACACCCACCCTACCCACATCCATCCCAGCCCCGTGAGATCAAACGCAACCCTTATGCGGCCTTCAATGAAATTGACTTTGACACCCCTGGTGTCGATGCAATGTTTCTTGGTGCTTCTTGGTTTCTGCTAGTTAAATGTGCATTAAATGTGCAGTATGCAGCAGCTGCCAAAAAAGCAGTTCTACATTTAGGCAAGAAAAACCAAATCCACAGGTACAATATAGGTGGTGCCCTGCTCAGTAGTAGTAGTAACGGGGCAGGAGTCTTCTCCAGCACCAGAGTTCAAAGGCCTCCATTCAGCTATTCCTACAATCCTTTTAATCTCTGCTGCTGTTCATATCCCTATGATTTAGCTTGCCAACCATCAAATTTCTTTCTTTTACGTGAAGAGATAAATGAGTTCATAGGTTATTTTTTAGCTATCAAAAATTGCTTGAATTTTTACTCTTTTTTTTTTTAATTATGGGGGTGGGAGAGAAATCACTCAATCATATAGCAACCATTTAAATAGGAGCCAGCAGTGGGCTGCAGCTGCCAAAAAAGCCAACACAGTTCTAGGTTGCATAAACAGAGGGACAGAATCAAGATCACGTGAAGGGTTAATTTCACTTTATAAGGCCTTGGTAAGGCCACACTTGGAGTACTGCATTCAGTTTTGGTCGCCACGATGTAAAAAAGATGTGGAGACTCTAGAAAGAGTGCAGAGAAGAGCAACAAAGAGGATTAGGGGACTGGANTTGTCTCTCTCTCTCTCTGTCTCCCTGTTTCTGTTTTTCTCTATCTTTTTGTAACTCTCTTTCTCTCTCCCTCTCTGTTTCTCTCTCTCTGTCTCTCTGTCTCTCTCTTCTCTCTCTCTCTCTCTGTTTCTCTTTCTTTTTTTGTCTCTCTCTCTCTCTGTCTCCCTGTTTCTGTTTTTCTCTATCTTTTTGTAACTCTCTTTCTCTCTCCCTCTCTGTTTCTCTCTCTCTGTCTCTCTGTCTCTCTCTTCTCTCTCTCTCTCTCTGTTTCTCTTTCTTTTTTTGTCTCTCTCTCTCTCTGTCTCCCTGTTTCTGTTTTTCTCTATCTTTTTGTAACTCTCTTTCTCTCTCCCTCTCTGTTTCTCTCTCTCTGTCTCTCTGTCTCTCTCTTCTCTCTCTCTCTCTCTGTTTCTCTTTCTTTTTTTGTCTCTCTCTCTCTCTGTCTCCCTGTTTCTCTCTGTTTTTCTCTATCTTTTTGTAACTCTCTTTCTCTCTCCCTCTCTGTTTCTCTCTCTCTGTCTCTCTGTTTCTCTCTTCTCTCTCTCTCTCTCTGTTTCTCTTTCTCGCAGGTCTCCAGTATTTCAAAAATGTGGTCCTTGTCGCTTCTCCCCAGGATCGCTATGTGCCATTTCATTCTGCAAGAATCGAGATGTGTAAATCTGCCTTGAAAGACAGACATACAGGTGAGAGTCTCCTTGGGTTGAGGTTTCCACTGCATTCGTTTTAAATTTCTAAGACTCTTTTATCTCCCTAAAACGAAATAGGGCAGGCATTTGGCAAGCTAACCGTAATTTTCAACAATAACCTCCCCCTATTCCTGAAGAGAAAAGTTTTCGATCCGTGTATACTACTACCTGCTCTAACATATGCCAGTAAAACATGGACTCTAACCTCAGAATCAATATAAAAGTTATGAGGGGTGCATGGAAAAATCCATGCTCGGCATCACATCACTGCATTCATTTTGAAAAGGAAACTATTCTACCCATCCTCATTTTCCTTTCATTTCCAGTCACATTTTTTCCCCTTCAAGTTCTCTTGAAGGATATAGAGGAATGGTGTCAAATCTGATTTCATTGAGGGCTGTATCAGGGTTGTGTTTGACCTTAAGGGCCAAGGTGGGGGTGGCCAGCTTGACGGCACTCATGTAGGGGGTGTTTGTGGTGGCCCGAGCCCTCTGCCAGAGAAAACGGGCTGCCAGGCTCCAATTTTGGCAACAATGGCCTTCTGCAGTCATCCACCAGCAAAAACAGAATTCAGGTGGGGCTGCCTGTGCCCCCCCCCCCCAGCTCATGATATTGCCCAATACATCATGATGATATATTTTTTTCAATTTTCCAAGGTCCTGTTTATACTGAGATGATCAACAACCTTCTGCAGCCCGTCGTGGGAGCAAAGGATTGCACATTAATCCGTCACAATGTATTCCACGCCTTGCCAAACACAGCTAATACGCTGATTGGACGCGCTGCCCACATAGCCGTGTTGGATTCTGAACTATTCCTGGAAAAATTCTTTCTCGTGGCAGGACTCAACTATTTTAAATAAGACCGGGAGTCTCAGGGGAGCAGAGGATGCTTTGCAGAAAACGGCCACCATTTCTGAATGAAGGGAGTGCTATATTACCAGGAAAAGAAAAAAGAAATGGCATAATGGTGGCATAGCACGCACATACTCATACCCTATTTATGTGGGGAAAGAATCAAGTGCTTTAGTTATTAAGCATTCAAAGGGCCAACTCTTGGTGCTTTTGAGAAGATGGAAATGTCTCCACATTCAGTTTCTTTGTCCTTCTAGAATCTAGAATTGGTCTTCAAATGTCGAGAGTTGGATTCCAGATCTGGCTCTTTATATCTGTGATGGGATCAGTAATGTTTTTCCCCTTGTCGCCTTCATTAGAAAACCCTCCTAAATCTAACCTTGGTTAAATGAATGTTGATTGCTGAATAGGCTTGCCGTTTCAAATGGAAACAAGCACCAAGCCCTGGTAAAATGAAAACTCAGTAAAATCTAGTTGTGCATATAACATGGTACAGGCACATGATCATGTCCTGAATTTTAAGAGTAAGGGGCCAAGAAAGAATAGAACATAGCAGAACAGAATGGAAAGCAGAGTTGGAAGGGACCTTGGAGGTCTTCTAGTCCAACCAACTGCTCAAGCAGAAGACAACAGAGGAACAGAGTTGGAAGGGACCTTGGAGGTCTTCTAGTCCAACCAACTGCTCAAGCAGAAGACAACAGAGGAACAGAGTTGGAAGGGACCTTGGAGGTCTTCTAGTCCAACCAACTGCTCAAGCAGGAAACCCTATACCATTTCAGACAAATGGTTGTCCAATCTCTTCTTAAAAACTTCCAGTGTTGGAACCTCCACAACTCCCTGAGAAAAGTTGTTCCACTGATTAATTGCTCTAACTGTCAGGAAATTTCTCAGAAAATTCTAGGTTGCTTCACTCCACGATTACTTTTCATATATTCCATATATTGGTGAATGCAAGCTATTATGAGTTTTCCTTAATGGAGTGACATCAAAAGATTTGTTTCCCTGATCAATTGTTCTGTCAGGAAATTTCTCCTCAGTTCTAGGTTGCTTCTCTCCATGATTACTTTCCATCCATTGCTAGTTCTCCTGTTTTCAGGTGCTTTGGAGAATAGCTTGAGTCCCTCTTCTTAGTGGCAGCACCTGAGATATGGAACACTGCTATCATGTCACCCCAATAACTTCTTTTCATTAAACGTGACAAAGTTTGAAGGTATGCATATTCAAGCAAATTGATCAAATACTGCAGTATGTCCACCAATGTTGTTGTTGTTAGTTGCAAAGTCATGCCTGACTCATCGTAACCACATGGACAACGTTCCTCCAGGCCTTCCTGTCCTCTACCATCTTCCGGAGTCCATTTAAGCTCATGTCTGCTGCTTCAGTGACTCCATACAGCCACCTCCTTCTCTGTCGTCCCTTTCTTCTTTTGCCTTCCATCGTTCCCAGCATGAGGCTCTTCTGCAGTGAGTCCTTCCTTCTCATTAGGTGGCCAAAGTATTTGAGTTTCCTCTTCAGGATCTGGCCTTCTAAAGAGCAGTCAGGGTTGATCTCCTCTAGGACTGACCAGTTGGATGGCCTTGTAGTCCAAGGGACTCACAGGAGTCTTCTCCAGCACCATAGTTCAAAGGCCTCCATTCTTTGGCGCTCAGCCTTTCTTATGGTCCAACTTTCTTATGGTCCAACTTTCACAGCCATACATTGCAACTGGGAAAACCATCGCCTTGACTATACACACTTTCGTTG